TTTCTTCTTCCAGTTGAATTACAGGATATTAAACCGGACAAACAGCCGCAGCTTCTTCCGGAGGATCACATCGTCCTTTTAACAGAAGCAACCATAAGAGATACCTTTTCGCCTGCTGATTCGCTGACTTCGGAAGAGATTTTACCCTTCGCTCTTCGAGTGATTGATGATAAGTCAGCCAATTGGCAGACATACACCCAAGCCCTTCTCGTAAGATCACGAATTGAATTGAACAGAAGTCGAACTGTTGAACGTGCAGTTTTGCAGATGCAGGCCCTTGTGGATCAGGTTATCGTGGATATGCAAGAGACCAATGGCTTAGATGAGATGAGACGTCAAGGTGCAAATGAGCCAGAAGCTACACCCGATATCCCCGCCATCCAAGTGACGCCTGATAGCAGGGAGGGTCGACAGGATGACCTTCAGAAGCCAACATCATTTCTCCCTGCTCCCAAACCGGCCGAGTCAGCATCGCCGCAGGAGAGGCTACGGTATGTCAATGCTTTGTCGGCTCCACCGCGTTGGCACCTCGAGTCCGAGCTCGCCTACGCCTGGACGACGGTTGGGTCGCTTGTCTCAGCCTTGGAGATATTCAAACGCCTACGGCTGTGGGCAGAAGTTGCGCTCTGCCTAGCAAGTAGCGCGGCGGCTGATGATCAGGAAGGTCGGGGCAGTGGAGGTGAGGAGAAGGCTCGGGCTATCGTGCGATGGCGGTTATTCAATCGCACCTCCGATGCTAACGGCGCCGCGAACCCGAAAGATGATTACGACGGGGATGATATCGAATTCGATATCTCATCTCTAAAAGCGTCTGACTTCTATGGTTCAGAACGCTCCCCTCCACCTCCCAATGCCCCTCGCCTATTTTGCATACTAGGAGACATGGAGGATGATCCTAAGCACTATCAACGTGCATGGGATGTTTCCAATGGTCGTTTTTCAAGGGCACAAAGGTCTCTCGGTGAGCTCCATCTCCGAACGCAGAAATGGGAGGAAGCTCGAGAAGCATACAAACTTGCTGTTGGAGTTAATCGGCTAAGCTCGGAGATGTGGAGCAGACTTGGTGATATCGAGCTTCGTCTTGGAAACTTCGCTGATGCAGCTGAGGCGTTCCAGAGAGCAATCTCAAGCGCAAATAACACTTCCGGCGGTGAAGATGCGAGGACCTGGAGCAACCTTGGAACTTCACTGTTAAGTTGGTATCGTCAAATTATCTCGGAGACACGAGACCGGCAGCAAAAACTTGACAAGGATGATTCTGACTATTTAGACGGGATGGCAAGCACGAAGCATGCCGCCGAACTCGGAAAGTCTGCACATAATATATTGCATGACTCCTTAGTGGCCTTTAAGCGTGGAGCAACACTCGCCGACTCGAACTGGAGAATTTGGGATAATGTAATCACTCTAGCGGCAAGCATCTCGCCGAATCCAGACTTAGAAGACATGGTTCTCGGAGTTAGAAATGTAATCCGCATTCGCAAGAGCGAAGATGCATTAGATATTGATATACTGACCCTCCTGGTTAGAGAGGCGACCAAGACACCTGTCCCCACCAACATCGAAGAAGGGAAAATATTTGAGCCAGCGAGGGGCACCATCGAAAGCAAGATCGTCTCACTCTTCGAGAATGATATCGTATCCCTCATTACAACGAATTCGGCGTCCTGGGCTCTGGTGTCACGCCTTCGTGCCTGGAGGAAAGACTGGACAGGGGCATTGGACGCAGCGGAGAAGGCGTGGAGGACGGCTGTCGGCGGGGTCGGGAGCTCGTTGTCGGCATCTGGCGGCGTTCAAAGCCAGCGTGGGAGCTGGCTAACAGATGCAGACGCATGGGATGCTGTAGTTCAAAGGACATCGGAGCTCGTAGCGGCATACGAGAATTACGGATCACGCATAGATACTATCGGTACTAAGTGGAAGGGTAAGGCGAGAAGCGCGGTTAGGAGCGTAATGGGGAAAGCAAAGGATTCATGGGAGGATGATCGAAGATGGCAAACATTGGCCGACATGATGGAGGACTTAAGATTGTAAGGGAACATGCCACCCTACCGAAATATAGTAGTCCCTTCTTTGTGCCATTATAAATATCCAGGAATGCTGGATTTCTCGATGTATCTGGTAGTAAAGCCTTTGAGGAACATTGTCAATTTTATAAGTAGTTAGTTATTCGTATATTGAGGTTGTTTTATAAAGATGCAAGCATCGCATAAATAAGTTAAAAGATATCTACCTGATAGACTACCTAGGTAGATAGACAACCTGTGTTCCAAAAACGCCCCCCGCCGTCTAATCCTTGGCATGCATCTATTGCTTCTCTCCCTTCACCTCTTAACGTATTGCGCCCCAGCCGTAGTTCCCATGGCCCAATAATAAACCAGACCATATCATGTTATCTAGACTCTTATGGTAGTCCCCGGTTCCCAAATACACTTGTCCGTAAAATAGACACCCGATGAAATGCATTTCTGACTTAAAGGTATTGATCTAGTAAAGCAAGTAGAGCGAGAATAGAAGAGGATAAAACAGCGAGCTAAAGTTACAAAGAAGAGTGAAGCAAACAGGGTATAAAATGCTTTAAACCAGAAAAGACACCAACCGATCAAACGACCATGCGTACCTATATCACGTTCTCTAGGTAGGTACCTAATCCTTCTCCATCATGTCTCTACCTGTGTTAAATAAAACCTGGTCGGAGTCCACCGAATTATCCAGCTGGAGCCGCGAGGGCGTCGTGACCGCTCTAGCTGGAGCCCAAAAAGAACAATATTAGAAATAATTGCAGAAAAAAAAGAAAAGAGGTAATGAGTGACAATGTATGCGTTTAGACACGTGAATAGAGATGCCTAGCTTTAGTGTGAAGAGAAATGAAGTATGAATAAGCCGAATCGTCGTAGAAAGTACGCCTGAACTTAATCAGCCCTTAGAAGCTGGTCGACCAGAAAACAAAGCAAAAAAGCTGAAACTCGGAAGAGATGAATCCCATTTCTTAAGCATCATGATTCCGGGACAAGGACAGGTAAAAGACAAAAGATGACCGTAGGAAGTAGAGGAGTAGAGGAGTAGTATAGTAAGACTGACGAGTAGTGTACGGTCTCAATCCCGGAGCGGGTTGGTGCGTCGTGAAGAGGGGGGGTGGTAAAGTATGTATGTAGGTCGTCCTTGGGCTTGGGCTTGGGCTAAGCAACAGGTTTTTGTTGACATGATAAAACTTTATTGTGCTCGTAGAAAAGCATGCAGGCATCACCAGGTATCCAATTTCGGTAAGGACTGGGGTTGTATATGGCCGGCGAATGTTCGTTTATTTGGTATGCATACCTAGGTACATACATAACCACGTCCCCAATACCCCAGTTGTGGTATCAAATAAGATGTTAGTGGAGTCTGGTGATGAACTATTATGAAATGCATTGTGTGTAGATCATCTGCAAAGCCAAGCCAAGCCAAGCCAAGCCAAGCCAAGAGCATAACACAAGCCTCGAGACCAGGTAGCTGTCGTGAAACCATTAGGTTAAATCTGAGGAAAATACGGCGATGCGGACCCCAAGTTTCGAAGTATTGAAGTATTGAAAGAGACAACTCCTGACGATACTTGAAGTATGTAGAGACTGCGTGACGCAGATGGTATGCATCATGCAGCGGCAGCGGCGCGCACCCGATAGACACACATCTATGTATGTAGACAAGACACAATCCATGTTGCCCACATGGGTGCATCTACATGTCGACATGCTTGTGACCAATCAGTCACTCGAGACTAGCCATGCAAAGTCGATCATGGTCCCCCAGATTAGCCCTCCCCGATCCCGAGAAGGTAATAAGATGTAGTAATGATGATGGTGGCAATGGGTTGCGTCCACCTATGTAATGTAGCCTTGCTAAGAGAGGTAGCCTGGTTTGGAGCATGGGGGCTTGAAGTTGTCACGGGTGCGGCGGCTCCCACGGCGGAATAAATCCCAAGAGGTAAAGCAAGGATACCGGGAGATGAACAGGGGTGAGTTCGTTTGGTATCGTGCGATCAAGTTGGAGTGCCGGGTTGAATTATGATTGGTTGACCTCACGACAGCTGACCTTGGCCGAATTCACCCCCCTTTCCCCCCACACACGATTTACAAAACCTATACACCATTGCATAAGGCGCACTCCCCACCAACCCTCAACAAACTTGGCATATGCCATCATGCGAATGGCCCTCGGTCTTCATCGTCTAGGTTCGAGCCTAGCATGGCTCCCCATCACGAACCACACGCGCGCACACACACCACATATACTCTTTCTTTCTCCTTTAACTCCTAAGAAATTCGGCCGTCCCAGATGGAGAACCAGATGGAGAACCATCTCCCGCTTCACACCATACGAGTGCCGTATGATTTAACTGCGGTATAATAAAAGGCGAGGGGGTTATGTGCAGGAAAGTATGATACGGATGTCCGAGGTATATTCCGCGCTTAGACTGCAGTTCATCTTGTTTGTTTCCCTGATAGTGGAAGAATGGATGGCCATCCTGCAACCCTCGCACCCTCGCCCTCTCGCCCTCTCGCCCTCTCGCGGAACGCGCCCGGCGTCACACCAACTTCATCCCTGGCGGCGGTAGTCACGCCGCTATTCCCGGTGGCTGACATCACCGTATGCTCCAGTGCCGTACACATGACTTGGGTGATGCTGGTGACTCGTCGTGTAGGCAGAAGCTGCCGTTGAGGCATCGGCGTAGCCACTCGAAACGGAAATTGGGTCCCAGCGCTGCGTCTGGGGAGCCATTCCGTAGCTTGGCGGCGCCGGTAAGTGTTGCTGCGGTCTCGTATCTGCGTGTCTGTATGAAGGGGCAAGGCTTGGGATGTGAATGCCCTGGGGAGAGTGGGACTTGATGCCAGGGGATATTGTTCGTCCGGGATACGCGGCCCATGCCGAGGGCGCTCCTGTTAGAGAGCGTGGCGATGGCATCGAATGCGAGTCGTGGTGGGAATAACCGCCGTCGGATACCGTCGGTGTGTGCGGTGGTCCATAGAGACCCGGGCTCGTGCTGCTGACAGGCGTGAGTAAAGTCGGCCCCGGTCCAGGGGGTACCGTAGACGAAGGTGACGCGGACTAGATCGCAGAGTTAGCGCCGGAAGTTTGAGAAGATGGTAGCTACCAGAGAGTCTGTACTCACATATTTAGAGATGATCTTCTTCAGTGCGGAGCTTAAAATCTTCCAGGGGAACACTTTTACGTCCTTCTCAATATTACGCGGTTTTACGACCGAGTAGCCCATTATGATCTTGAAAAACTCCTCGGTCTCCGGCTTGGCCTTGCTGACCGTTAGGGGACGGAATCCCTCCAGGTTTCGCCGGATACGGTTTTTCTCTTCCACGGTGAACCTGTTTGGTGCAGCCACGAGCTGCTCCAACAAGGAGATTGTGTCGACGCTCGTCACAAAGCACTCTTCTTTCTCCCCCCAGTATATGCAACTGACGAAGATGCCATTCTGCGGTCGCTCGTTGACCGGTACAGCCTTGAATGATGTCGAAAGGGTCGAGCCTTGCTGCTTCTTGCTGAACATGACGATCCGCCTTCGATCTTCCCATTCGTCCTGAGTCCACCCTGATACCATCGACTCGAGATCTCCATTTATCTTTAATACCGCCTTAGTCGAGTACAGAGCGTACGGGTTGAGCTGTCCGCCGCCTGTTGGCCCGGACGCCTGTAGCGTGCTCGTCCGGATTAGCTGCGGGGTGCTAGATGTTGGTGCTGGTAATGTTGCTATACTGCTAGGCCGGTTGATTGTTGTATGGTTGACGCCCGTGATGGGACTCCGTGCCGAGAGAGAATGGCCATATGAGTTCCACGAAGGAGTTTTCAGCGGCGGCGGACGAGGGTAGTCGATTGCGTAGGACGAACGATGGTAAGTCCCGATCATATTGTCGTTGTTTGAGTAGCTCGTGTCATAGTTGGACGCGACGGTCTGTGGTGCAGTGGGAGCATAGCCGTATGTATTTGTAGCAGAGTCGGTTCCCATCTGGTCTGGTTCTTGTTGTTTGGTAGGGACTTCCCTCTGTTCAGGTGATCTGGACCCCCTTTTCGCCCGCGTGACATTCTCAGGCGGGCCCTCTGCACTCCCGCCTGAAGTGTCATGATAAGTGAACGTGCCGACGTCAATCGTAGCCAATGTCTGCCCGGCTGCGCTCTCGATCAGGAGTGATAAAGGCACGTTGGGATTGGGACTCCTCGTGTCTTCAAGCTGCGGCGCGTCTCCGCTGACTGCATAACCAAGGCCGCTCGCATCACTTGTATCCCTAACAGCGTGTGCTGGGCTCTTGTGGGAACCGAACGCGAGATAGAAATGACTCGTGATCGCGATCAGATCGTACGGAGCCGATATCTTGATCAGGACCTTAGTTCCAAATATGCCCGCTGTCGGTTGGTATGAGATCAGCGTGGCTACGATTGGCGTCATGTACTGGCCGGCCGAGCCGTTTGCCGCGAAGGCCATTTGGTTGAGTTGTGCGGCAGCATTTTCAGGTTGCTGGGTAGCAAATTGCTGAGCAGAGTATTGGTAGTGAGGATCTTGGTACGATCTCGACGAATCAAACGCTGTGGCTCGAAATCGAGTTAGCTTCGTGATTTCTTGAACCGATCACTATCAAAGCTATTCTTGCTAGAACCCAAAGCACAGAGCATGTGATCTTTTGGGTTCTAACCAAACAACGGCCAAGCAAGTACTTACCGTGCATCTGGGGCGGCTGTGGTTTCGAATACGTGGACATAGACAGGAGACCAGGCGGGGAATCCCCACGAAGGTCTCCTCCGTTCGCTCTGGCGGCGGCCTCTTCCTCGTACCTAAGAATCACCGTCTCAGGGGACTCGAGCGCGTCAGTATCGACGATTATTGGCCTCTGGGGATGGTACTGAGGCTATAAGACCCGGTCAGTACGTTTCCAACAACTATATGCCTCCTCTCAAGTTTGACTCACCTCGAACAGCTTATAGGTCGGGTATTCAAATTTGACGGCAGACATTAAGCTGCCTGTTTCGAGCAAGTCTAGGGGATTATAGATTTGGATACGTTCCAAATGGAACGGGCAAACACCTGTTTCGGGAGCAGTGTTGCAGAAGTTTGGAGGGCCTCGTATGTTGAGACTATAAAGTAGTATCTTCCAAGATTCTGTAAAGGTAACGTCTGGAGTTCCTTATGATGGGGTCAATGGCTATTTTCTCGCGTGCCGCCTGTCTTATGCGATACCAAGCTTACGGGGAGATCTGATATGACTGTTCTCCTGTTGGCGAGCCGGTGAAACAGCCACCCAAGAAAATTATGCGAGCGTAATAGGAGCCTGTAGTTGCTGAAAACTTAGAAACAAGCCGCTGTAAGAACTGACTGGTTTGAATCTCGATAGACTAGAACCGCAGGATGCTCCGCCGACTTATTCGTGGGGGGGATTAATATGAAAACCCCTTCTTTCTTCCTTCCTAATAGGCCTAACAGTCTTTGACAGCCTAGCTCGCAGGAGTAGATAGGAGTCTAGAGCCACTCATTGGTCGAAACAAGCTGTTGGCAAACTGATTCTGAGTCGAGTCTCGGAAAGTGGAAGCATCCAAAACTTTTCCCCACCCCCAAAAGAGGATACTCAACTCCCTTACTATCCAGTCTGTCCGGCCGCCTGTCAAGTACTTCTGATTTCTTCTTACTTATTAGCTAGGAGGGAATACGGCCTATTTATCCCAGAGACCCCCGTCGCTATACAAGTTTTGGGAATTAGGCCGGGAGATTGTGCCGATAAAAGTGATAGTTGAGCTGGCGGGATAGAGCGACAAGATGCTATAACGTACCGTGTACACTCAAGTTGGTTGAGTGTGGATACCCAGCTTGTTCGTATGCAGCCTGCCCGAACGTGTTCGCATGAAGGTGAGTTGGAAGGGCTGCAATCAGAAGTAGGTGGCTATCCGAGAGGTTCGCGTGTCCCGCGTGGTTCGTGTCGTAGCTTGAACCAAAAGACACGAGTTGCCAACAACGAACAGGTAAACGGGCTAAAGAACAACAAGTTGTCGGAGAAGCTGTCGGCAAACGAATGGGCTTCTGAGGAAAGTCTCTGAAATATGTGTGTGTGAGACGTTGATTCTCAAGCTAGAAACAGATGGAGGGAAGTTCTTCGAAGGGAATAGGAACTGATAAAGAGACGAGAGGAATAAGTTGCAAGACACATTTCTCGGATCGCCGTTGTGAAGTAATGGGGCTGTAGTCAAGATTCCTATGCTGTGGCCGGTCGAGACCATTGCATTACACAGGAATATATACTATCGATGTACCTTTTTTTCTCGGTTGTTCATCTCAAGCCTCCCCTGCTTTACTTTTATTGTTATTGTTATTTTTATTTTTCTGTTTCTCTACTCCGTTTAAAACCTCCCAGGTAGCCCAGGTAGACAGCTGCAGACTTCTAGTGTATTCCTATGTCCCTTAGGAGCAAACGGCTTTCTTTAATCTCAAATTCTACGTTCTCGTAATGTTGAGTCGACCAGTAACTTGTATATGCAGAAAGGATGATGCAAAATCTAGTGGGAGTATAGAGGGTGGAGGAAGTAATGAACAGGGATACTGGCCGTTGAAATGCGAGATCCAATTGTCTTAAAAAAAAACTGCAAATCATGCAAGGGTTTGTGATCGGGGGGAGAAGACTTTGGGGTCGTGCACCAGAATCAGGACTAGGTAGATGATAGATATGGACCCCCCCGCATTAGTCGAAAGGGATAGATGCCAGGCAGATCACTAAGGGAAAGGTCCTATAGTAGCATGTAACGGGACGGGCGTGAGAAGAAAAAAATTATTAAAAAACAAAAAGGCCCAAGAGCAAAAAAAAAAAAAAAAAAAAGCATGGGGTATGTGGTGGAGGAGACATACTAGAGGAGCAATGAACTGATGGGAATGACAAGACAAGGATGAGTAAACCTACACGACTTAGAAGGGGGTGTATATGAAAGATGGCGCAACTCCGTGTCGGCGTACGTAGGCTAGACTGCACTACGTTGTATGATTTAGGACTAGAGTAGTTGAGAAGACGTAGCCAAGTAGGTGAACTTAGAGACTTCCAATCCTTAACTGACAGAAGGTAGGTTAGGTAGTCAGTATTGCAAGCGTATTGCAAGTACAGAGATATTGTGCATGAGGTACATGTAAGCAGGTGTGTTGATATATGGATCTTGATAATTTCTACCTATACATAATTCTCTTAGCTCCGATTGTAGTTGACCACCGACTTGAAAATTAATGAGATGGGTCAAATGTAAAGTCGACATCGCACTCGCAAGCGGTAATAGGGATAGGACCAAGCATATTAGTGAGAGAGCCAGGTAGATACGCCAAAACATCAGACTCTTCCGCTGTCAAATGCTTTTTTCCCGTCTTCTTGGTTAAGTCGATCTATCAATAGACGCCTGTTGTCTGGAGCTTGGAGATGGGTACGCGGGTGTAAGTCGTGTGTAGATCGACAAGTGGGAATTACCGGAAAAGGGTAAGAGACTGGGAATATTATTGGCTAGCTACTTATTCCGCTAACTTATGCAGCTATTGGACGATCTCCGCAGGTCAATGGAGGATGTGGGCAGCCATCTCTGAAAGAACCTAGCCTGCTTGGGATGGTGGGATGACTTGGGAGTTCGCGGTGGCCCGCCGCTCCATGCCCTCGTGAACTGATACTCCGTAGAAGTGCTAAATACATATAACCGACATGTGTACTACTCGGCGAGATTTGCTCATCTCATAGCGGTAGGTTCCAAAATAGAAGGGGTAGAGAATAGACGACGGCATCAGCCGCCTCTAGTGGAACCCCACCCCTTGACTTTGGGAGCCAAATCAGGGAAGACGGTCAGGGGATTTCGTATATCGGTACATACTTGAAAGATGGTTGAGTATGTACATACACTAGAACCCCCCTTGTCCATCTTGGCAGTATCTTCTTTTTTTCCTTCTTATTCTTCCTCCTCCTATCAGTTTCGGGGCTAAGCAATTTGTAAAGCGTATCGGTGAACAATTGCGACAGCTAGCATTTGCTGTATCTCTTCAATAAAATATAAAATAAAATATAAAATGGGGGTTTTATTCGGTCCTTTCACCCTCGGGTAGGAATGCCGACGACGATTCTCCGGTGCGCGAGAAATATCCATTTTATAGGGAAAAGCAACATACCAGAACACAGCGATTAAGACGCCGCAGAGGGAGGCTGGCACGACAATCTAGATTGCTAGGCCATAGCATATATGAATATGTATTTTCACTAGAGCTTTTTGAAATGATGTTGTAGTCATGTCCCTTTTCACGTGTTACTAGCATATAACGACGAGTCGGCTTCAGTATATCATCCGGAGTTTGCGTATGGGCTGCTTTTTATTGCTTTGGGAATGATTAACTATAAGTTCCAACTTCGTATGAATTCGAGCAAGAATAAAATAACGATATTTGTATATTAGGAGGTATATATACACGCATTGTACCTCTATGTGAGCAAATGACAATCCCTTGTCAGCGCAAGAGAGTTGTGTTAGAAGGATGGACAGTATAGAGCTGATGGCATCCATATTGTTCAAATTCAATAGCAACACGTCGTGCTCAGAACATCGACTATAATCGAGGAAAGTCATATCTAGAGTCGACGTATAGTTTCGTCAAGTCCGGCTCATGCAATGCCATTCGTTGTTTACCAGCTTGCGGAGGTATCACAACGTAGAAGGCGTCGATCTCAGCCATGTAAGTCGTTTGTGAGGACTAACACTCTCGTTCAAGGATACCCATGGAAGAAATTACAAGTGGTGAGATTATTTCCCTCTTTTGATGATGAGGCTTCGAGGAGCACTCGTCACGCAGCAGCAGTAGCTCCATCTCAACCCTACACATTCGTTCTATCCAGATATCCATTAGCCATTCCGATAGCCAATATGAGGGTGTGCGAAAATAACATTACCCAAAGAATCTAGTGTAGAGGAGTGTACTATCTATCATATGTACCGTCTACTATGTACAGTATGTACTCTCGTATGATGATCGCCCTTGGCAGTGGGGGAGACCCTGTCGCAGGGGTTTTGATGATGCTGCGGCGCATCTACAGTGGTGTAGAAAGGCAGTCACACGGTAAAGACTAGAGGCACCTATCTAGATCATGTAAGGCTTACTCTTCCGGCTTGCCGTATCTGTACCAAGCAGTATATGAATACAGTATGTATGACCATCTTCCTGTGCTACTGTAACTTGCGAGTTACAGGAAGCTATTTACATGAGTCTCGTGCAGCTCACCCTCGGCACCCTCAAAGTGATCAATGTATGTAGGTACCTCACACATATATCTTCTATCACGTCGGCTGACGACTCTAGACCCGTATGATCATGCGGCCCCCAATTCCGAAGCTAATAAATAAATTGAAGAGAAGCACCCCTACAATTGCATATAAATCCTCACCCCTCTCATGACAAGTGTAAAGAGCCTTAGATACCCCAAACACCAGAGTTTCTCCCACGAATGAATTTGAGGAGCAGACTACATGCGTAAGTACAGAATCGTATATATAAGATTAGTAATACCCTCACACGAGTTTCCAAGGTTCTTATTCTAGGCACGTCAGGACTCGATCGTCACACCTCCGCTCAGATCTTAGATACGGCCGTACATAGCTAGCGTAGAGGACCGATAATTTTATCGCCGCAAAACTGATGTACAGGTCATCATCGACAGGACATATCCTGCAAGTGTAATTTTCATGTCGTACAGGGGCCTGCAGACGTACCGCCCCAATGCTAATGGCCTAGGTAAACAATGAATATCGCCAGATAATCTAAACATCAAGTACCTAACCAGGTCGAACGCTTGACGACAAGTTGCGAAGTAGACTAAGACGCCTATCAACTCAGAACAGCCATAGATACATACAAGCCCCTCGGAGAAGTGCTCGGCGTATGATATTGCTTGTTCGGCCCAGGCATACGATATCTTGAGTCGCACATGGGTCCTGCAAGCATGGCCCATTTACATCCCAATAGTTTGGGCCAAAGTCCGGTTGGGTCCTTGTCTCGCACATGCTAGACGGCTATGGACGTCTCTCAGTGTCTCTACCTTACTACCCAGCAAGCCGTCTACCACTATGTCTAAAATCGAGGTTCCTGGATGTCGGGAACAGGTATCTGGCCCTGTCACACCCTGAGGTTTGTCGCAGATTCGCGATAGATACCCCTTGTAGGTAGCACGTCCCCGTCTCTTGGGACCAATATATGTATTAAAGAGGCGTGCCTGTGC